TGCAGCTGTGCACCAGGATTTAGTGGCACACAATGTGAAACAGGTAACTATAACCAAAACGAGTTAATTTTCATTTAAATTCTACGGGTTTTAATCTCTTTTTAAGTTGTTTGCAGTGTTGTATCTTTTATCCTCAAGTATAGTTTTGTTATTGAGTTTTGTTGTTGGTCGTTGCAGGTTCTATCGAATGTGACCGTTATTAACTTTCTGCCTTATCACCTTGAAACAGATATCGATGATTGTGCAAGTCATCCCTGTAAGAACAACGGCACCTGCATAGACCGAGTGAACGGATTCAACTGCAGCTGCGTACCAGGCCTTTATGGAACACAATGTGAATCAGGTAATCGTAACAGATAACTTCACCAACCTTATAGTTCGTGTAAATAATAAAACAGCAATGCTAACAAACGATTGGGAGCCAATTAAAAGGTGTGTTTCCTAGAAATTGACAGCCACTGGAAAAGGGAAAACAAAGAGAAAGTCGTCATTGACTATTATTGCCACAAGGAAACCAAAAGATAAACCTTTTTTTCGAGTTGCTGTGAAACTTTCATCTTTTTTTATTTTTCCAGCAGAAATGTTTTAATTCCTTCATTGCAGCATATTTCCTTGTAAAAATTTGCCTGTGAGCGGGTACATGACCCAAATATGCACATGCTAAACACACTTCGGGGTATAGTTCCAGAGTCATAACCTTCACTCTGGGGAAGGTGGAACAGATGGTAAACTGATCGGATGGGTATGGCGTCAGGGCCGATTTTACACCTTCTGTGGCCAGGTGGAGGCGAAATGATGCGAAGAGCTATTTGAAAGTGAAGAGAAATATGTTACTTAGACGAGTGAACGAGTTCAACTGCGCACTAGACTCTAATGGAACACGATGTGAAACAGATAATCGCTGTAGATAACAGCAAGTAATACCACAAGCAAGTAATAGGGCTTAAATGTCTACATTCGAACGGCAAACGGCAGAATCGTGTGGTTGAAAGTTTCCCGTTAGCCAGAACACACGATTACTCTAATAAAATGTATCTGCTAAAGGTGTTTCCGATATTCCGTGTAATCAGTTTAGAACTGTGAAAACTTTGAAGTGGATTTAAGGGGCCAGTTCTACTGATTTTCTTGGTAACAAGGTTCTCTTGAGGTTCTTCTGATTTTTTTTTTTTCGTTATTTTCATGTGTTTAGTAGTTTACTTCCACCAGAATTCCTTTTTATGCTCGTAATGGGACACTTAACTATCCATTGTGACATTGAAATAGTAACACTTAGATCCCTTTGTTTTTAGACATTGACGAGTGCGCTGCACAGGCCGACCCATGTGCTGCTGTTTTTAACTCTGTGTGCAGGAATACGTATGGATCGTACAACTGCCAGTGCAAAGATGGCTTTATGAAGAATGGTGTTACTTGTGAAGGTGCAACACAGTTTTTATCATTAGTATGGATATGTTATATTATGTTTTAATTAGCTACAGTTGAAAACTTTATTTGTCGTTATGTAAGGACGGCTTGCCACATTTAAGAATCTTATTTAACAAGTAGGCATGTATCGGGAGGAAAATAATAAATAACCTATATGAAGTTAGAATAAACCACATAGTTGGTTAAAGTATTTCACATGATATTCCTCCAGCGGTTTATCCAATGCCAGAGAGTAAACATACCATAGTGGAGAAACACTGGCGCTGATTGCGATGTTCTCGCACTTAGAGTCGATATCTATCATCGCATGAAGGACAAATTTATTCAGCTATGGCATACCTACAGGTTACCCAACAACATTTGAACTGGAAATTTAAAATGTAAATATGGAGATTTTCTCGTATAA